TCAAGGCTGTGGTGCCTCGCCCAGGAAAGCCTCCACATCCGAACGCAGCTGGTTGAAGCGCTCCTGGTTTAGGGTTTAGGCTAATTCGGGTTTAGGGTTTCGAGTTAAAGGTTGAAGCGGCTTAGGGTTGACCTGTGATGACTACACTCCCCTCCTTTAACAAGGATTATAACTTCATCAGGGGTCTACATCAGTGGAACATTTTACCAGGATCCTAATTTATGGTTTGCGGTTTATTACGGGCAGGTCCTGAGCTTTCTGCAGTAAGCACTTCATGAAGCTTCTCCAGGTCGGAGTCTCCCCCTAAGGCTCCCTATCTTGGAGGCCACAGAGTCAGAGAACAACCCACATAAACATCTATTTGCTTTGTGCTATCCAGATCACAGCCCGGCGCGACAGTAAAAATCATAGTTGGCACCTCGACAGTAAAGGTACTGGAGTTTCACCGGCAACCCTAGCACCTGACAAAAACGAAGACCTTATTCGCAGGTTTAAGCCCACCCTTAAGCTATCCCTACTGCAAGCCTTCGTAATGCACCGAGGACAGCTCTCCACAGCAAGCCAAATAGTTAACGTCTTTAGGAGAAACCCCTGCATGCATGAACCCCCGAACTTTAAAAGTCATGGCTACAGTTACTGCTAGTATTGATACAGGTAAGCTAAAAACGGCCCAAGTACTAGCCCCAAAAGTGAGCATCATATTCATGCCAATATTAACCTTCCAACCATTGTACTCAAAAGCATGACCCTTAGCCCTGTCAACGTTTGGCGTTGTTCCATTGATGGCCTGTAGATTTAAGGAACTTGCTTACCTCAATATACACTGATAGGCCCCTTCTTACTGTAGATGCTCATGTCGGACTTCAGCATCAACCCTATCACTATCCCTGCCATTAACCCTTATGTCAGTGGTGACCCTGATTTTGCCTGATAAAAGCCCGAAGACTATCCATAGTAGCCTCGGTACGACCAATAATAAAACTCCAGTGTTTCCCTTATTCACAGCCTTAGTCAGAGCTTCTGGAAATCGTAGTGGCACGTGTGATAAACTTGATATCCTGGTCTGTGTGTTAAGTCTGCAGCGCTGGCTTCACAACCCCAAAAGTTCACGATGGCGTAAACATATCACCGCACTGTCTCTGCTGCAAATATGCATGTAGGCAACGTGCACTAGTGTCTCATCTACGTCTGCTCTGTCTGGCATTAAATGCAGCACTCTCTGGCACCTCAATGACAATTACCGGCAAAACCATGACGCAGCAGACGCACTTGTGTAGGTGGCAACGGCTTACTGGCACAAACATGGTGCAGTATTCTTTGCAACGTGGATGACGCAAACTTATTCCCAAAAGCACACGAAACCGGAACAAGGTAGGTACCGGACCCTTATTATAGGACATAAAATAGTGATAGTAGTAGTAGTCGTCGTCGTAGTAGTAGTAACAACGATAAGAATACATACACACATAAACATAAAAAAAGTACATGAACAAGTAATATATATATATATATGTATATGTATATGTATATGTATATGTATATGTATATGTATATGTATATGTATGTGTATATATATATATATATATACATATATATATATATATATGTGCGGATAGATAGATAGATAAAAAGTGATGAATACAAAAGTCTATAAGAACGAACCATACATAATACGTCTATATATATCTCTCTATATATTCGGGTGGGCTGCCTGAAGAGCATGATTTGTAGGCTTACATCTTTCTTGTTTCTGACCTGAGTTTACTGAGCATCATATCAGTCATAGCAGTCATCGCAAGAAAGAAGTCAAGAGGCACCGCAGCTGCAGTCAGGAAAAGAATCATCGAATTGGATCAGAAGCGCTTGCGATGGACAGAGCTTGCAAACGGGGTTAAACAACACAAAGCTCCCCACTTTACGATCCATCTTGTTCATCTTTATGTAGGGTTCACGGCTCGGGGCTCAAAGGCCTAGGTTCGAAACCCGGTGAAGGTAATTGGGCTTCTAGGATGGGAGCAGGGTTCAGCTGAGTGTAGTTAGAATAACTCGGATTTGGGGGTATATTCTGAAGTCTCAGAAGTACTTCTAGTAATTATTCAGGCTGTTATGTTAACGCCCCATCAAAAAACAAACGTCTGTCCTTCGCGGCTGCGCGCACGTGCTTGAGACTGTCTTCCAGGCAGGACCTTGGAGAACTCATGCGTGGGCTATTCGTTTAGGGGTGTAGGCTTCATGGGTTAGATTTTGGGGAGGAGTTTATTTGATTTCTTTTCTGTTTCATGATTCTGAGTTCAGAGGTCTAGGGCCTATTTTCATACCGCGCACTCTCCTGCTTCACCTTCATCCAGGCCGTCTCCGCTTGTCATCAGAACAAGCATCATCGTCCTCGCAGTCTCTTTTCTTGACCCACCATCCATATGCGAGTTTCCGAAAGTAGGGGACCCGGTACCCTCTAAGTAGTCGGATCCTGATTATAAGGACCCCAACATAAGGTGCCCCCAATTTTCGGAAACCCCCAATATGCTCAATTGCAGTATTCTTTGCATTGATGGCCAGGGTCCCACGAAGGAGCCACCCCTACACCCTACTGCTCTATGACCGACCGCTTGAATCCGAAAACTAAAGCGCAATCCCTCAACCTTGAACCCCAACAAAGGCATGAACTAACCCATTTAAGGTTTACCTAGACCCCCCCAAAGTAGGTAGAATAATGGCCCAAAACCTTAAAAGGCTGTTATTTTACATACTTTCGGGATCCAGATAGGGTAATTATAGGGTGTAGGGACCTTTAAGGGGATCCTTTAAGGGATCTATAGGGTTTAGGGTTGAGGGTAAGGGTACCCTTTAAGGGATCTCTAGGGGACTTGAGGGCAAGAGCCGAGGCACAAAAAGCGCCTGTCTGAGGCCCGCATGGTAATGCAGAGGAAGTGCAGACAGGAGATGCAACCAACCTGCTGTCGTTTAGGGTTTAGGGTTTAGGGTTTAGGGAGCTTAGTGTTGTAAGGCTTTCAGGGTTTCAGGTTCGAGGTTCAAAGTATGTCTCAGGGATCGGATTTTAGGGCTGTAAGGTTTTGAGGTTTCCTGTGCTACTACTTTAGGATTGCAAGCTTTGTCAGTGTTCGGGCCTAAGAGTGTTCCAGGATTGATGGCCGACCTGAGGCACAAGGCGAAGGTTCGGGCCTTTGGGTTTAGCTTCCCCTCGCTGACACGGTGCTCATCCTCTCTTCTTCAACAACCAGGCCCCAAAACGTTCAAACTTTCTAAGATAGAGCCAATATATAAGGCCAAAAAGTTTAAAGTTCCCCCGTTCACTATGTAAGTATCAGCTTTTTCACTAAACACTAAGCCCAGAAACCCTATACCTGTGTAAAGCCTTAGACCAATAGGTTTCGACTTCGTTCAGGTATAATAATTTGGGAGTTTCCGCAAATTAAGGGTACCTTAGTTGGGGGTCCATAATACGGATCCTACTATTTAGGGTACTATATTCGGAAACTCCCATATCGAACAACAGGGTTTAGGGTTTACTGTATAGGGTTTGAAGGTACCAAGTTACCGGATGATCCAAGTCTGCAACGTCCTTCATTGAGTTCACATAGGTGGTTAGAACAGGGCTTTGGGGGGTTCATTAGTCCACATTTCTAACCGGCCTCTTTGAGTGCTTGGAAAAGGTGAACGGTGTGGTTTGTGCAGGGTCCCGGGTAACGGCATGTAGGGTGTACGCTTTGAGGTTTCAGGATTTAGAGTATGGGTGGGTTGAGGGATTTGGGGCTCAGCATTTAGGACACCCTCAGCTCGGAAGCTTGTTTTCACAAGATCCAATTCCAAAGTTGCGGTCAAAGTGCATCTCCCTGCTCAAGCGACCACTCCGAGCAGAGCATTGAAGTTGCAGTGCTACAGGAGGGACGCTGAGCAAAGCGGAGACAGCAATTGACCGGACTTAAAATCCACAGCGCTGACCTGGTACCCAAAATCCTAAACCCTACGCCCTGTAAACCTCGAACCCAGATGAATGCAGCATACAGTAAACGAATTGGGAAGCTCTACTGGCACTGCCAGCCGGGGCTGCTCCACACCAGGATGCCTTCATTTGGCTACCTGTAGAGGTAGGCCTGAACCCAGACATCCAAACATAGTGAACCCCGAACAGTTGGAACATTCCCTGCCCTGCGTTTTACTTTAAAAGTTTAGGGGACAACGGTGTTCCAACTTGTTGGCTGATACTGCAGCCTAGTCCCCAGATTCATAGGCCCCCCCTTCCTCTAAGACTTTCAGGCCGCTGATGAGAGAAGGCTTGCCTGCCCTTGTCCTTCTGAACAGAAAGAGGTCCATAGTCGGTTTATTGATCAGAAAACGTCCGCATTGTTCGAACATGTACCTCTGCATTTCACGTCCATTATCATTCCAATTCACTACTATTACTATGTTTCGTGTTACTAAGAGTATCGATTTCTCGCAGCCAGATGATCATTAGCGCAATTCATACAACAAGTCTTGCGACAGCTTGTTCTACAAAGACGTCCACGTTACTGCAACAACTCTTGCGACAATATCGGGACCTTGATTATTAGAAAAAGGTTTTGGCGCCCATTATACTGTAATTATCATCAGGAGCCCCCACAATAATGGCACAGGGAATTATTAAGGCCGCTATATTCGGGGATCCGTTAGAGAGCCCGTTAAGGAACCCTTTAAAGGGAACCCTATTTCGAACTATTACGGCCGATACGTTAAATGGCTGCTATTGTCAAGGCGATCTCCCTTCCGAGAGCAGCCCGGAGGAGGCCAAGGAAAACGAAGAGCGTGGCCACTGCGGACCAAAAAGATGCAGGGGTTTTCAGGCCTAGAACAGAGGGTTGTTTTTATAGAAACCCTCTACCAAACAGATTCAGGGCTCAGCGGCTTTGGGGTTTAGCGGGCTTAGGCTCTTTGGGGGTTTTAGGGTTTAGGGGTTGACGGCTTCAGCTCGAATGTATGTACAGCAGTACGGGCAGCAAGAGTTATATGGGCGGCAAAAAGAATCTGTCGCAAATGCCTACCCTCAGCAACTCGCTAGCTTTCTTCGAGACATGCTTGAAGTCACAGGGATCCACCCTCTCTTCCAAACAGTTCGTCCCTTTCCAGTCAGGTCTCTCTTCCTTGCTAAGTGCCATGGTCTGAAAAGGCTTGGCTTTGCCCTTGACATACAAAGTCATAGCTTGGCCACATTCCTGAATTGTCCTGTGATATGTCGTGGCCTCCAAGAAGTACGAACTACCACTCGAATGCTTCCAGCAAGTCTTGCACAGAAGTGATCCGCACTTCCTGTCCCCTGGCCTCTTGAGGGCTTCATCCTGTGTGCGATTGAACTCGAAGTGCACGCCGCAGTCGCCCTCCGGATCGTTGGCGATGTCCCAGATTTCGTTCACGTAGCTTCCATGTAGACACACCGAATGGAAGTTGGCCCTATGGCTGTGCACATAGGTTTCAGAGGCGTCTTGGAAAAACAAGTGCAGACGTACATCCACTCCTTCGCCATTGAAGATGTGGATGCGGTACATCAGGTTCGGTTGCTTGTCCACAGTCCTTTGCTGCACTTTCACTAGCCCCCCAAAGCTCACAACACAGACTTGATGGCATCTAGATCTACAGGGCCTGGGCTGAATGAGGCTCGGTAGGCTGAGAGCTTTGAGATTCGGTGTGTAGGAATACCATGGATATCCCTGTGTGGCTACAGCCTTGGGCGTTTGTAGTCTGTCCTGGATGCCCTTAGTGTTTTGCTGTTCCTGCCATGCCAATCCTGATGATAGATGATGGTGATGATGCTGGCAATAGTGGTGATCATGCTGATGGCGACAAAGACGAGAAGGAGGATGAAGGTGACAGTGTTGTTGTTGTTGGTGGTGGTGGTGGTGGTGAAGATGACGACGATGATGCTGACGAGGAGGATGCTTATGATGATGGTGACGTGAATCGGCAAAACAGGCTGCGACTGTAACTGCTGCCGCAGCTGCCTCTGCCGCTATTGTTGCTGCTGCTGCTACAGCTGCTGCCGCTGTGGCTGCATGATCATAGAGGTTACAGGTACCACGCACCACGATCTCCACTTTGATCAAAAATGCATAGTACGCCACAACTGGCACGGTTACTGCAGCGGGCACGACGACGAATACTGCGCCCACTACAGTTGTCGGAGAGACTGCTGTCACTGCTACCACGCGGCTACGACGAAGATACCACTGCTACGGCTGTCCGTGACGACGATGCTACTACGACGCTACTGCTACGGCTACGGCTACTGTCACTCCTACTGCTACTGCTGAAGCTACATGCTACTGCTACTGCTGCTCCTGCTCCTGCCCCTTCTCCTGTCGCTGCTGCTGCCGCTGTTGCTGCTGCTGCTGCTGCTACTACTACTACTACTACTGCTACTGCAACTACTGCTACTAAAACCCAGAATACGAATTTATATTACAAATACTACTGCTACCACGACTACTACGACTACGAGTACGGCGACGACGACTACTACTGCTACTACTACTACCACCACCACGACTACTACTACTACTACTACTGCTGCTACTACTACTACTACTACTACGACTACTACTACTACTACTACTACTACTACTACTACTACTACTACTACTACTACTACTGCTACTGCTACTGCTACTGCTACTGCTACTGCTACTGCTACTACTACTACTACTACTACTACTACTACTACTACTACTACTACTACTACGGCGGCGGCGACTAAGACGACCATGATGGCGACTAGGGCGATGAGGACTACGAGGACGACTACGACTACGGCGACTTTTGCAGCGAGGCAAAGGAAGCCCAAACCCGGCTGCAAGCGAGTCTCAGCTGGGGGAACAGCTCTTCCCACCTCCCGCAGCAAAGCATGAGAGCCCGGAGCTTCCTGGCAATCTCCTCGACAATCTCCCGGTCCTCCTTGCGCACTTCAACCGGCTGCCGCTTTGCGACAAGCTTGTCGAGGTCTTGAAGAAGGCTCTGAAGCTCCTGAGGTGGGTTCAGGGTTTAGGGTTTAGGGGTTTAGGGTTTAGGGGTTCAGGGTTTAGGGGCCTGTCAACGTCGAACCGGGAAGTTCCCCAGTACTGCTTTCGAAATGTCTTACATCACCCACCGCTTTCTCAGAAGTGGGGTGCATGGACAGCTGTAGCACACGACACACGCATTTCGTACTTCCTCTAATCGCGGGCAACACGACGTCTATGTCTCTGTCGGCCTTATCAATACAGGTGCTAGTGTCAAGAGTTCGCTGGGTTATGGCGTGATGACTCCGGTGATGACAGCATCAATGTGATATAGATTTCCGCTACCGTCCTGAAGCTCGGCAATGCTGTCCTCCACGCACGAAGTATGTGGCCGACACGCACTATTGCATCGTGCTGCCTGCCGGGAACAGCGCGAGGTCGTAACGAAGCCTGCTGCCAGCACGGACGCCCACAAGGACGAGAGGTGCCGGTCAAGATTCCGATCATTTGTGATGCCCTGGCTCACCAGAGGCGCTCGAAGAGGGCTCAGTTGCACGGGCTGCTGCTTCGAAATGCCAGGCACATTTGGTAGCTGCGCCATAACTCCCGAAGTCCACGAATGCTACAAAAAGGCGAATGCTCGAACCAAACGCAGCTAGCATCCGAGCTCAGATAGCTTTCCGGGTGGGGGGTATATTGCAGATGCATGGCATGGCTTTCGGATTGAAGAGTTTACTAGAGCAATAATAATGAGAAAAAGTCGTGGCAGCAGAAATAGTAGATTCCGCTGAAAGACAACATACGAAACCTTATCAATCAAATTCCGGAAGGGGCAGTTCACTCACGGCCTGAGTAATAAGCAACTTCTTAAGATGTCTGCTCATCCAACACTCGCAAGCACTGACCGTCTGAGAGGGACAAGGCCCACACGCACATCCACTATAGATCTCAACCTGCCACTCTAGACTCTGAACCAAGAGGCGTGCGTAACGTGAAGGCCAAGGGTGAAAACCCTCAGCCCTACGTACTACACCTTTTGTATGTACGTATGTAGGCATAAATATAAATACATGTGTATATAAATATATATAGATACAGATATAGACATAGGTACAGATAACTCCATGTTTGTATATATATATATATATACATACACACACACACACACCCTAAACCCAAACCCTATCCTGCAAATCCTAAACCGCCTAAAACTTAAACCCCCAAGCCTCCAAACCCCGTTTGCTCAACCTCGACAGGACTGATGAGTCCCTATCAACTCCAAAAGCCTTACACACGAAGCATCCCCTATGAAATCCATAATCTGGGAGTTTCCGAAAATAGGGGTACCCTATTTTGGGGTCCCTATAATAAGGATCCTACTATTTCGGGTACTATATTAGGGTCCCCCATTTTCGGAAACCCCCATTTAGCAGCTAAGCTCATCAGGGCTTCAACGGAGTTCGAGAAGCCTTAAAGTTGGCCAGAGACTGCAGGGACTCAATGCCGAAGGCCCTCACACGCTCGCCCTGGCGTACAGGCGTTGGCGAAGTCTGGGGTTCCCTAAACGCCAAACCTTTAACCCTATAAGGGTTAGGGTTTGCAGGGTTTAGGTTTGGGGGGGCGAAGGTTTAGGGTAGCCAATGGCTGATCGCAGTCCCAAGGCATGATGTAGGGGAATTCCATAGAGTGACATTTGGGGATGTTGTGTACTTTAACCATATTCAAGAACCCCCATGAATAGGTTGGCATCTAGCTGAGATGTCGGAAGAGTGCTGCCGGTTGCTGTAGGAGTCGGATTTGAAAGCTTTAAGCGTTTAGCGTTCGGGTTCGGGGTTCTATGGGTCTAAATCATTAAAAGTGTCTTATTGTTTATGCGTGGGGGGGTATGTACTATAAAGTTCTTGAAATCAGGAACCCGAAGGAACCATGCTAGTATTCCTCGGTTGGTTTCGGATTCAATTGGTGCAGCAACGCAGATCCACAAAGAATCTCTGGACCCACATCTCCCCGGACTTTCTAAGGGCCGCTTGAGAGCTCCTCTAAGAAATCTCGAAGGGTTTCCTGTACGGTTTTCGTTTATGGGACCCAAGATATACCGATGTTTGCAAGCCTCGAAACACCTGCCCACGCGAACCGAACTAAGCGAGTGGCTTGCGCCCATCCACCGGGGTTGCCTTAGCATTTGCCTGGTCGCCGCCGTTGATGTAGTTGCCCGCCTGTGTTGGGCAACCCTAAACCCTAAACCCTAAACCCTAGAAGTAGATCAGGAGTGCCGGGCCTATAGTCTCGATTGCAGTTGATTGTTGGCGCCTTGCTTCTTGTTCTACAGTACCTTATCGGTAAGGATTTGTCTGCTGTCGGAGAGTCCATCGTTCTTGGGATTTCGGGGCTTTGGACGTCTGGAGTTAGAGTTGGGGGTTCGAGGACTTACTTGTCCGGTATCCTAGGTGAACTAAAGGTTAACCTTTGAGATTATATAGTAGAGCCTGTAAAGTTGGGAAACCGGATAAAGGACAAAAAGTGCTGGGATTCCCTATACCTTACTCTGAAGGACTGAGGCTATTGGGTTTCCAACTTCCCGGCTTCTACTATATATATAGGCAGCATATTATATACACCAAAAAGGTTTAAGGTTTCCTGCTTCAATAGCGAGAGGATTTGGCAGATTGGGGTTTGAGATTCGCAGGTCCTCCCACTAGAAGCACACTTACCTAGTTACACGGATCAACCCACTTCTGGATGGCATTTTCAGCCTGCTCTCTGCGAGTTCGGGCTCTTGATTTTGAAAGGAGGATCCTTTCAGTCCTTATAGGACAGAGTTTCAAAACTACTGGGAGCCGTTGTTGAATGGGCTTCGCACTAGATGTTCGAGGCCCTACTTGCTGCCGCAAGGTTTCAAAGTCTGGGAGGCTTCATTTTTGAGGTTGGTTGTCATAAACCTCCAACTAACTCAGTTGATGGGTTCAGGGTGTTGTTTTTTTTGAGCGCCTTTTCCGCCTTGCAATTTAGGGGTGTAGGGTTCAGGGTTTAGAAATACCCATCCTCAGGCTTTTCATACAGCCAGCACCTTCTTCGGTAATTAATGTTCAATTTATTGTCGAGATCTCCAGATACGGAAATATATTCTCCACATTTCTGTTCTCAGTTGGGAACTCCGGATAAGGAGATATGTAGTTAATCAACCTTGACCGCCGAACCCTGTAAAGCCTGGTAACAGAACAACAAATAAAGCACGTACTACGTACCACTACTAACGATTTTTCAGTCTAGTAACAATACCAATAATAACAACAACGAAAAAACAAAAACAACAGTAATCATTATCAGAATCATAGTAATCACAACAAGAATTGGCCTCTAGGACGATGGCCAGGAGCTCCCGAAAGGGAGCGGAGTTCCTGTGTTTCCAGGGAGGAGACCGAGGTTTGGGGCTTCTGAACTTGAGGTGTCTAGGGGGTTTATGTTTAGGGTTTAGGTTTTTTTGGGTTTAGGGGTTTGGCGTTTAGGGGTCTAGGGTTTAGTGGTTTATGGGGTTTAGGGCTTAGGTTCATTTAAGGGATTCGGGACTATGACTCAATTATGATTATGCTGTACGGTGTTATATTATGTAGATTCAATATTATATTGTATAGTAGCAAATTAGTACATTATGTTGTATTGTACCATAATAGTACATTATACTGTATTTTGTTATACTATACTAAAACATGTTATCTTATACCAGGGTGCTGAGGATGTTTAGGGGCTTGATGTTCTGGAGGGCTGCCTAAAGCCCCAAGTCGCAGGATGAGTGGGAAGCAGAGGTGAAAGCGGCAATACCTCAAACTTGATCGTAGAGGGCTGAAATGGGCTTTGCAAGTTAAAAACCTAAACCCTAAACCCGTTTAAAGTCCTGGTAGAAGCCTCTAGATCCCTTAGAGGAACTCCAGCAACCCTAAACCCAAAAATGAAGTTGGAGGAAGCCATAGGCCAGCCACGGGAAGTTAAACCCTAAAACCCTAAAACCCTAAACCCTAGTGCGGGGGTCGGTTTAGGAATATAGGCTCCTTTAATGCGTCGGCTCGGGGGCTAATTCCGACCACCACCAAAAATTTCGGGGTTCTAATTAATGCGTTTTTTTTTGGCTGGGGGATTTTTTGGTGGTGGGGCTGTGCTGTTTGCTGATGGTCAATCTTAAGGCAGCCACGACCTGAAGCCCCCACCCAAACCCTAAAATGAACCGCCGAATCGGGGATTGGACCCTAGCTCAAAAGAGGCCTCTCCAGTACTAAAGTTTGTATAAAAAATTAAGTTTTGGGTCGAATCTGGACCGACCCCCCTTTGGAAGGGTTTAGGGCTTCGGGTTTAGGGTTTGTTATAGGGTTTAGGAGTTTAGGATTCGTTAGGGTTTCGGGTTTGTTAAGGTTTAGGGTTCAGGGTTTAGGGTTTCAGGCGCCGGCTTTATGCTTTGCTTATTGGGGGGAATGTGCTCACTGGCTTTATGCTTTGCTTATTGGTACTATTTCTGTACTATTACTGTATTACTACTGTACTACTGTACTAATGTGGTACTACTACTGTACTACTAGTGTACTACTGTACTACTATTGTACTACTACTGTACTATTACTGTACTGCTATTGTGCTACTATTGTACTACTGTACTATTATTGTACTACTACTGTACTACTATTGTACTACTACTGTACTACTATTGTACTACCACTGTACTACTGTTGTATTACTAGTGTACTACTGCACTATTATTATATAATACTACTACTACTACTACTACTACTACTACTACTACTACTACTACTACTACTACTACTACTACTACTACTACTACTACTACTACTACTACTATTACTATTACTACTGTACTACTACTGTACTACTATTGTACTACGGTACTATTATCGTACTACTACTGTACTACTATTAATACATTAGTAATTAATTACTTAACTAAGCACCGAAACCTACTAAACCCCCCCAAACCCTTCTAATTAAGCCCCACAAACCCCACATCAACCGAAGCCCCCAAGAAACCCTCCTAATTATTTAATTAAAACCAAAGCAAACCACCCCAAAGCTCCCGAAACCTACAGAACCCTCTTAAGCCCGAGTACTTAATTAATTAATTAAGCACCAAACCCTACAAAACCCCCCAAACCCTTCTAATTGCTTAGGCGCCCAAACCCCGAGACTCCCGATTCCCTCTAATTGTTTAATTAATTGTCTTAATTAATTAATCAAAGCCACCCAGACCCTAGCTGCGACCCCGCAACCCCCTTCTAATTTACTTAAATAATCAAAGCCACCCAGACCCTGAGCCCCACTCAGACCCCTGACCCCTGTCCGGGGCTACCGGTTCCATATTAAATAGAATTTGTATTTTTGGTCGGGGGGGGGGTGGTACCCCACTATTAAACCGACCGCCACATTAAAACCCTAAACCCTAAAACCCTAAACCCTAAACCTAAACCCTAAAACCCTAACCCTAAACCCTAACATAAGCCACAGGAAGCCAGAAATGGTCCTTGACTCTTCCGCGGCTTGCTGTAAGACCTCCGGGGGCTTCGGGCACTCAGAAATTAAGGCTTTAGGGTTTAGGGGTTT